GGCTTGCTAACTGAACTTTTGCTGCTTGATTCTTCGCTGCGCGCCTTCCTTCAGCGCATCCAGTGCTAGATTTATCGGCGCAGTCTTGGTCATAAAGATACAATCCACCTCGCTCTCTCCCTCTCTCTCTCGCCTCCCTCCCTCGCGGCATCCCTACAGAGACAGACAGACCGACCAGACAGACAGACCAGACAGACAGACGGACAGACAGACAGACATACAGACAGACACGCAGACAGACAGACACACAGACACATAGGCAGACAGACAGACAGACAGACAGACAGACAGACAGACAGACAGACAGACAGGCGGACACCCGAACACACAGACACACAGACACGCAGACAGAGACAGACAGAGACAGACAGAGACAGACAGACAGACAGACTCGCAGGCACACAGGCACGCAGACACACTGACACACAGACACAGAGACACAGAGATTGATATGTGTGTGTGCGTATATATATATATATAGAGTTATTTATTCTCTCACACACATACACACATAAATACATACATACATACATACATACATTCATACTATACATACATACACGCACACGCACACGCACACGCACATAGATAAATAGATAGATATGTTTTAATTTTTTATGCACACACTGCACGGCCATCGGAATGCATTCTCACGGCCAGAGCTCGTACAGTGCCACGAAGCCGTACCTTGATTGACAATCTCCCAGGTCGTCCAGGGGTCGTCTTCGTCTCGCTGATCTTCCCAATCCTTAGCAGGTTGGGGTCGATGTCTCCAAAGCCGACCAGACTGGGCTTTTGCCCACAGACTCACAGCGAACAAAGTAGGTATGCCGTATGCCCTGCACTGCCTCATCCCTCGCCGGTAGATGGAGACCTCGGCAGCTTGCTGATACGCATTTTCCGCAGTCTCAGATTCCATTCCGGGTCCAGCCGTTAAATCCATTCCAGAGGTTGCCCCCATGGTGCTACGACAGGTAGTGCAGGTAGTGATAGCAGAAGCATCCCTTCATGTCTTGACCACCCTTGATACTTGATCAAGCACTGGGTTTGACGCCCGGCAACGAGGCCTAGACATTTCGAGCATGTACGCGCCTAGAATCAGTTTCCAAAGCGGTCAAGTTCCTAGCGGTCTGTCTGGGAATCTGCGATGCCGAAGAGCCATTTCGACGACATGGGCATTCAGCATTGCCTGGGCCTTGGTCGCTTACAGCTTGCGTCGGAGTCGTGCTGGGAGCGCACGCTGGATTTGGCTAAGGACAGGTGATGCCAGATGATGCAGTCTGTTGCCTTCGACAGGCAGTGTTTCTGGCGGAAGAGTCGATATCCTTGACAGCCCATCCGAAGTATGGCCAGCAATTCCTTGTCAAGGCATGCAGGTGCTTACAAGGCACTTGTCAGATGCGAGGGCCTCGTGCTCAGGCCCTGTATCACGATCATATTATAGGCCCCGTGCCCAAAAACCAATCCTTCGTTCAGCAACCCTCAGTAAAGCATTCTTGTAGATGCTCTTGCCGTTCGACAACCGAGACTTCCAACAGGATTGGATGCCAGTGGTCGGTTGAGCTTTCTGTCACAAGAGCATGTGCTGCTAGAGTATTGCCAGCACTCCAACCCTGCTCTGGGATCGATGCCTGTGAACTTGACCTCGGGCTGTGGATGACAGCTCTTGTGCCGTGGCACAGGAGCGGGAGTGCAGTCTAGGGAGTCCCCCAGGAGTCCTCTCCGAGTTCGGCTTGGCCTGGTGCATGGATTTAGGGTTTAGGGTTTAGGGACAAATCTTCAAAGTCGCCTGGGTAATGACTTGATGTGCTTCGGTCCAAGCATGAGCGGTCTGGCCTGCGTACAGCACCCACACCGGCCTTCTGCACACAGCAGGGGCCAGCGCAGGAGTGCAGGCTTGTCCGCACCAGCTTCCAGTTCAACATGCAGCTTGATGCACAGACTTAGATGTCGAAGGCTGCGAATTTTCCGCAGTCGCGTTTGGCCTCAGCACACTCCTTTATCCCGAAATGATATCGATAGCTACACCAGCTTAGACGTTGCCACAAGGCCAAATTCGTGTTCCGCGCGTGTTCGATAGAAACCTCCGTACTCGAATCCTGTGCTGTTGATTTCTGTTGGGTACATCCTGAGACATCATGGAGCGGTGTAGACATGGTACCCAGTCTTTGGTTTATAGCCTTGCGCAGTTTGAGAGTGGAGACTTTGAAATGTCGATTCGCAGCTCGTTTCTGTGAGCCCACCCGAAGGGTCCGGGCGAGGGAGCTGATGTCTTAAAGCCCGTGGCACGCTGCCCGAGTCATTCTTCCGCCGACGTACTGTACACACCAGCCGGGCTACCCCGGCCCTGTGACCGCGTCAGGATTGAAAAAAGCTTCAGTTCTATCTGGTGGAGCATGGCGTAAGAAAAGAGCTGAGTTTCTCTTTGACTTATCCTGGTGCAGCGGTGAAAATACAACATGATTGCAGATAATTAAAGTTGTCTTCTCTGCCGTACGTGGCCTCGGCAGACTTTCTTAAATCATCGCTTCACCGTGTTCGGCAAGCGCTGCGCTGTTTTTCTCACCGAATCCGAGCAAGCCTTCCGAGTCCCCGGCCTTTCAAGTCAAGGCAGACATGTGGCACATGGAAGCTTCCTCCATGGTCGACCACACGCCACACAACTCTTAAGTCATAGTTATAGGCCTTCAGCATCTCCAGACTCGGCCATGACTCGACCAAAGGCGGACATCAACCCAAGCAAGTGCTAGCTAGATTAAGAGCTCGTAATGAAAAGACTTTCGTTTAGTAACACAGATACACTTGGGAACGTGAAACATGTGATTCAGGCCGCTCAGGCGAGTTGAAATCAAGATGTCTAATGTTTGACAGCACCGGGCAAGACTCGTGAGTTCATGCGGCGATGTCGTGCCATGGCGTAGTCTGAATGACTCACACTGCGTCGGCAGGCAGCGCATTCGGTTTTTTGAACTGGGCCGGGAGAGAGGCTCACCATCCCAAACCTTCTGTGCAGAAGGCCGTCAGTATCTTGCACCTAGTGTACCATGTGAAGCGCCTTTCGATTAGCATGGCCCGCCGGTGGCCAGCAGGGAGTTTGTGCCATGGACTGCGAAGTCATCGAGGATGTAGAGCCAGCTTCACCGGAAATTGTTCTGTTGAATCTTGACAGCTTCTGACGTTGCGGATACATCAGTGTCAGAACGGAGCTGTCCGGAAACCGTCCTTAATCTCGTCATCGAGCTGTGTCTAGTCCGAAACCGGCTGCAACGGTCGTACTGCGGTTGCCAGGATGGGCTGCGTTGCATTGGGCAGGCGGCGCTCAACAAAGTATGCCGGACACGAAGATTTGATGCATTGGGCTTTGGCAGACCACAACTCGAAGTAGACTAAGTAGATCTTGATCCATGCCGCCGTGTCTCTTTTCCATGCCAGTGCCCGAAGTATGGTGCTCGATGTGACGCCAAGGCTGATGAAGTTCAGCGTGGGACTCGGCGGTCTAGCATGAGTAGTGTGTGCTCATCGCACTTGGCCCTCGCATGAAGTTGCAGTGTCTTTCCCGGTTCGATGCTGTCTCCCGGCTTGTGACACCTCGGGGTGGCGACAAAGGTGTGTCGCTTCGCGGGCTTCTTTATACTCTGTATTCCTCTGTAGTCAGTCCAGAGACTGCATGGTAAAAATCGTGTCCATTGCTTGAGCCTGCTGGAATCAGGTTGAAAATCTGTCTGGGTACATGCATGAGTCTGGAGGCCATTACCGGCCAAAGCAGCCGGTGCAACGCCCTCATCTGCCGCGGCCCCAAATTTTCAGAAGTCTGCGACAGTGTCCACCGAGCGCATCACAAGAGGAATCAGGCATCAAACGAATCAAACGTTTCTGCACTTGAGCGCAGGTCGGCAAGGAGGCGCCAGGAGGTGCGTGAATGCTAATGTAAGACAGCCCCGTGTGTGGTTCAATGTGGTGCGTGCTCAATGTCAGGGTTGAGGGTAACAAGGAAGAAGGAGGCGGCTGCTGGTTGGTTGAGCATTGAATTGATGGGCAAGGAAGCTATACCAGTGGAGTCGGAGTTTGCGATTCACTGTCATGCATCTTGCGGTGGCCATGCCGTGTGGGACGAAGGCCTGAAATCACAGCCCTCCAAGGCCGGGGCCCTCAGGTGAGGGATGCGAGTCTGGCAGCCATTCCTCAGTTGGGCATCGGGTTTATGAGAGCAGGTGTTGAGATTGCATAACCTTGTGCCAAGGAGCCCAGAATAGATGCCGGCCCGGTGAAAGAGGCGCGGCTTGCAGAGGTACTCGTCAGCAGTTTACGACTTCTCCTGCAGTGAAGAAGCAGGAAAGACAACGGCTTTCCAGTTTTGACATGAGACGCTGCTCGGTGCGAGCAAATTTGGCTAAGCAAGAGGGAAGCACAGGCACACGATACCAGGCCCATGCTAGCAAAGACAAACTCAGGACTGCACCTGGACACAAGCATATGGCCAGCCTTGGCAGTTTGCGAATACCCAGTTCACCTGCACACGTGCTTGACCAGAACACGGTGTTGGAGCACGACTGCCGGCCGCCGTTTATTTGGCTCCCCGAGCTCAGAATCGGGTTGGAACCAGCTCACCGCTGTGCCTCGTCAAGCGACCAGACTATAGATTCCGTTTCCTCAGCGTCGCTGCATTGCTACATCTCCTGGCAGTTGCACCACGTAGTGCGGGGTTGGATTTGGAAGCCAACCTCTGTGGTCATTGCAGCTGGCATGCCTGACCGCCCGGCTTTGCAGGATCTCAACTCAACATTCAAACTCCCCAAACAAGATCCACGAACATTGCAACAGCCGTGGCAAGTAGCCAAACTCAGAACGAAAGGGATTGCTCCTCTGGACGTTCGACAGACGCCAGCTGGGAAGGTGCTTGTTGGAGTCGTTTACTGCAATCTTGAGTTGGTATGTGGGGAGAGCTTTCTTTTCCTACTTCCGCCACTGAGGCCATGGGCGAAGCCTGACGCCCGATTTTCATGGAGCAGGCAGGGAGGGTAATTGCATGTTGCAAAGAGTTTTACAGACCTCGGGGCCGAGGTGGCCAGCGAGCAGGATCCATTTCGCTCTGAGACATTGGTTGGCTTTTGCTTGGGTGTGCTTTTGCCACATGACTGCCCTAAACCCTAAACCCTAAATACCTCGCACGGCCATCTTGGCTCAAGGCTCAAGTCTGTTTTGCGAGCTGTGATCGTGTGGGACCTTACCCCCTCTCGTCTGTTCTCTGTCGGTGCGGTGATGGCTCTTGACGAGGGTGGTGATTCGGTGATGGATGCGCCTACCCAGCCCGTCATTGACGCTGATGAGGAAGATGGAGATGATGATGAAAGCCCCCTGACACACCACGCATCCCCCGCAGCTGTTCGCGAAGGAGCTCCTGTTGAGGGGCGGCTGCACACTTCCCGGGAGGGGGTTCCCTTGGAAGGTCGCCTGACTTCGGAAGACATGCATGCTAGGCAGGAGGCCCTTAGGGATGCAGCCATTGCTGCTGAGGCTCTTAAGGCAGCGACATCTACTGACGTCCTTCCCCTGACAAGCCCCAATCCTTATGCATTGGCTGCTGCATCCAACTCTTGCTTCCCTGGGCAAATACCCGGGGCCGCCTCTGCTGGACCCTCCCTTGCACTGCCTGTACCTTCGAAGAAGCATAAAGACCGCCTAGAGAGTCCCGAGAAGAAACCCAAAACTGAAAAGAAGAAGTCACCTGAGGCCCCGAACAGGCTGGAGGCCCCCCCCCTTTTTGGGGGAGGGGGAGGAGGATCCCGACCTGGCCCGCTCCCCAATCCTCTTGAGCATAGACCCCCACAAGTTTTCCACCTGGATCCCACGAATACCGGAGTGCCTGACTGGGTCGGCGACCTCCGGGCGATGCTGGCTGGAGGACAGAAGGAGATTATGTCGGAGCTGCATACTCATAAGGCCCATTTGTCTTCGGTTTCTCAGCAGGTCCAAAGTTTGGATAAGAAGCAAGAGGATCTCTCGAAAGCACAGGGGGACATGGCCACCCGGCTCAACAACATGGAAGCAGAAGTTCGAGAATTGAAAACCCGTTCCCGTTCGGTTAGTCCCGCCCCACCTCCCCCGGATCAGAGTCCACGTTCTACGACGGCTAGCACCCTCGGAGGCAAGCCGGTGGTAGATGATTTCCAGATAGTCATTGGCGGGTGGAACGATGCTAAGCGAGGAGATATCGAAGCAGAGATCAGGCGCCTTTTCGAACTTATTGAAGCGAGCCCTTTACTTCAGAATATTCATGTGCCCTTCGTCCGCTCAAAGTTTGCGAGAGTGGAACTCCTGTATACCAATGGCAGCTTGGCAGAAAGGAGGAAAGTCCAGAACCTTGTCATTGAGGCACTTAAGAAGACTTTTCAGGATTTCAGGAGCGACATTTCAGGACAAGCAGGGCGTCCTTTGTGGGTCACTAGGAACAGGAGCAAGGAAGACAGGGAGAAGATTCGTGCCCTGGTAAGCATCAAGGACTGGGCGCTCAAGCACACCTCGGCTATCCTCATTGACCTTGATTGGAGAGGGAAACTTTGGATCAGAGGGGAACAAGTCCTTTACTGGCACCTGTTTACCAAGCCCGGTGACGGATCTATGATGCTTACGAATGCAGCTGGTGATGAGACGGGATGGTGGGTTGACGTGCGACAGCTTGCCCGTATACTCGCCATCTCCCCTGACCAAGTTAGAGATGAACTCATGGATTGACTAGATCGCAGTAGAGCAGCAAAACGACGCACGAAGGAGATCTGCATGAACGAATTTGTTTTCCTTACTTGGAATCTGCATGGGAAACACCTTTCCAGTGTTCGCAATCTTTTGGATCGTACTGAGGATCCTCCCGAAGCCCTGGCCTTTCAGGAGGTAGGGGGTTTCTCCGACCTGCCCCAAGGGGAGTGGAGGACAGAGACCTTAGACCTCAGCGGTGTGTCGTACAGAACCTTTGTGTTCCAGACACCTTTTTCGCATCGTTGCACGGCCCTGCTTTTTAGGCAGGACCTTTCGTTGGAAATTGTTCAGAGGCATGTTTTTGGCACAGGTTTCATCTTAGAAACCAAATCGCATGGGCGCACGTGGTGGCTGGGGTGCGGACACCTTCCTCACCAACAGCGACCGGATGCAGAGGAGGTTTGGCTCTCTAGCCTTGCTAGAATTGATGAAATCCTTTCCTTGTCGCGAATTCAAGACGTCGTCCTTTTAGGCATGGATGTCAACCAGAATTTGATGCATGCTAACCCTTCCTTTCCTGCACTGTCCCGAATTCACCTCCTGTTCAGATACCGAGGACTGGAATTCAATCCTGCATGTGGGAATACTTGGGAAGCGAGAAATGAGGCTAGCTGCATAGATTGTATCCTCTTCAGGTGGCCGGTTGTCGAGGTTGGTTTCCATTTGAGGCCTGACCTGCGAGAAGCCCTCCCATCTGACCACAATCCACTCTTCGGAACCTTTCGAGGCAGAATGGGTATGACATTGAGAGCGCTTCGACCCAAACATGGGTGTGGTCGGTGGGCGACACCCTGTTCCCCTCTAGAGCAAGCTGCCTCCGATCCTTCCTTTAAGTTCACCCAAGAGGCTTTTGCACAGTTGTGTCAGAAGCACTCATACCGCCTTCCCACACTCCGGTATAAAGACCCGCCTCAAGTCTTGGAACTCATTAGACAGAGGAAACTCGCAGCTGATCCGCAGGTACGTCAAAAGCTTTGTGAGGACATTTTGGAGGCTCGTAGATTGGCACAAAAGAAACACAAACTTGACCTCCTTGAAGCTGCCAGACAAGGTGACCGTGGGGCAATAGGGCATCTCCGCCGTAGTAGCCTGCAGAGCCATTCTGACGGTAGTTTGATCGAGAGACTTGGAGGAGACGATGCAGCCTATGAGGCCTTTAAGTCCTTCTATGCCAAAAAGTACCAACTTGGAGCCTCTGACACGCCTGTTAGCCCCGCCCAGAGCGAGGCCCTGGAGAGCAAGCACTCCACAGCTCCCTTTCTTCCTATCTCGCAAGAAGAAGTGGCAGAAGCCTTGGCCAAGGTCAAGCCCAGCACCGCCACAGGGCTAGACTCGGTATGCTACTCAGCGATCAGATATTTCCACTCACAGGATCATTCGGGCAAGCTGTGCAGTTTCTTTAACCGTATTCTTGATGGGACACACCCTGTCCCCTCAGACTGGGTTACAGGTAAGATTTGCCTCATTCCGAAGATTGGACGTCCCCAAAGAGTCCAGGATATGCGCCCCATCAGCCTGACTCCTTGTTTAGGAAAGGTCTTCTCCAAGATTTTGGTCAATCGCCTCCGTGCTAAGTTCCCCCCCTACGGGGCGGGACAACATGCCTGCCGACCTGGGACCCAGGTCATTGAGGCGATTGCTTGCGCGATGTCTTCGATGAAGATCTATAAGCAACACACCGGGGAACAGCTGTTGGTATGCAAACTTGATATCAGTCAAGCTTTCGACACGCTTTCTCACCAGGCGATCTGGAGATACTTGTATGATACCGAGGCTTCGGCAGAGGTCTTTGCATTGTGGACCATGTGTCAGAACACTAAGGTGTGCCTGCAGATAGGTTCGCACATGTGGACCCAGGACCTTCAACGGGGGGTGTTACAAGGGACCTCTTTCAGTGCAGACCTCTTTTCTCGGGTCTTGGACTACTTTTGCGCAGGGCTCTTTGAACGTTGGCGTGCATCTCAACATCCAGCTTTCCTGAAGTTCCAGTTGCCTCATGCTTTGCTCTTTGCCGATGACATCTTGCTCTTTGCGGCGACAGAGAAAGAGATGCAATCAAAGCTACATGCCTTGCAACTTACACTCGAATCAATAGGGTTGAAGCTGAACTTGTCTAAGTGCTCTGTTCTGGATAACGAGGACGGCACCACCCCGGGCGTGTGGGGGTGCAAATCATGCACCCCATTGCAAGGGGTCAGTCACCTGCTGTACCTGGGCGTTCCTCTTAGTTACAAAGCGACTCCGCTAGGGCAACTAGGGGTATCTCTGGCAAAGCTCTCTTCGGCTTTCTTTGGCCTCCGGAGACTTTTCGACCACCCGGACACACCCGTTCATGAGAAGTTGTTGCTTTTCCAGACATATATTACGTCCAAATGGACCTGGTGTTGTCCCACCATTTTTCCCTCGCGGAAATCCCTGCGTAGCCTGGAATCCTTTAAGCACACCCTGCTTTTGTCATTGTTGAAGCTACAAAGTGATCCTCTGCAAGGCTTTGTCGTCAATACGATTGCAAGAAGAAGGGCCGTTAAGGTCCTATGCGAAGTTCATAAATCAACGAGATGGGGAGAACTCTGGCTCAGTCGCCTCTGGACCTTTTGGGGTCATGTCTTGCGACAACAGCCGGTTTTGCCGCTCGGCACGGTCCTCCGAAGCTGCTCTTCGTGGCGAGTCCTAACAGGCAGAACGGCAGCGTCAGACTTACTATTCTTTATACCAAGGAAACTCCAGCTCTTTTGGCAGCAAGTTAGGAATGAATCGCCCTTCCCTGACGTTGAGAGTCTGGCACAGGACAGGGTAGCCTGGTCTAGGATGCTTCCCAGGTGGCTGCAAAAGTGGGGGTATGGGGCTTCTGAGGTTGATCGCCTTCCCCCTAACTACCTACATGACCGACAGCTGCTTCTGGTAGGAAAGAATCTCGCTGTGCTCCGTCCTGCGCGAGTTTTTCCTGACATGCCCTACAGTAGAGAGCTGCAACATGTGCAACGAGGAACCCCGAGAGCTACACAGTGGTCCCTGTGGGGTCGATTGTTGGATGAGGGGTGCTGCTTCACCATCATCCCCCCTAAACGGGTCTCGAAGCAGCCGGTCCACCTGCAGGTCCGCTACCCTGCTCTGGACTGCACGTCCAGACGCCTTTGTTTTTGGGAGTCAGTTCATGCCTTTTGGAAGTGGTTCCCGGAACTGCAGGATAACAGAGCAGCATGTTTCTTTCCTGCTCAGGCCTTTGCAGCCCATATTTTTGCACACCAAGTTCCCTTAGCCTCCCTATCCCAAACCCAATGCCTGGACAGGTGTGAAGTTGAGGTCGACCTTCTGTCATTCTGCTACTTACATCCGAAACAGACACCAACGTGGCTCGAACACCACCTGCCAACTACCCACGGCCCTTTCCCCGGAACCTACAGGTTCTTGATCAGAAGGAACGACTTCTCCGAAGCCAAGTACTTTGGTTCTTATTTCTTGCGCACTTTGCCATGGCCCCAGCCATGGATGCTCAGGCAGAGAACCCGACGACACAGGTCCGACTCAGGACCTCACCTCAAGCACCGCCGTCGCCGCCACCTCTCCCGGGGAACGTGGAGCACGGCTATGCAATGTGGGGTTTCCTGGATCAGCAGATTTTGATGCAGGTTTTCACTGTTTTACTGACTCTGCTGGTGGTGGCAGTGGTAAGACATATCACAGCATGGTGGAATGGGCCAGACAAACCCAAAGGTGCACCTAAGAATGTCGATACACCAAGCGCGGAAGCCTCCGATGGCCCGAAGAAAGCCACGGAGGAGACACCGAAAGACGACAAGCAGGGGAGCCCTGATGCCCCTGCCAAGCCAGATAAGAGCACAGTGGTGGATGACTCGGGCCCGCCGAAAACTACAGGGGCCCCGACGAACCCACCTGCCAAGACGCAGACTGGACCTGGAGCGAATGCTGGTGGAGCAGATAAAAAGCCCGATGGACCTGGAGCCTCTGACAGTAAAGCCAAAGCTGCAGGTGCTGATCCAGCTCCTTCCCCAGCAGTGACACCCCAGGCCCTCATGCAAGAAATCCAGGCGGTTCACAAGCTGCTCAAATCGGGGGCAGATGGGGGAACTAGCCAGGAGATGAAGAAAGAGATGGACAACCTCCGCAAGGATGTCACCACGATCATGAAGTTCCTCTCTTCGAGCGATAAAGACCTGAAAGACCTTTCGGGTCGCATATCGGCGATGGAGACGGTGCTCGGGGCTGTGAACGCCAGAGTGTGTACCCTCTCGTCCAACCTGGATATACATGCCAAGGCGACGGAGTCGTACCTCAAAGAGGCCCTCAAGAGCATCTCTGTCGTGGGTGGTGCAGTGAAGACCTTCCATGCAGACACCCAGGTGCTGATAGGCGCGAAACACGACAATTTGGAGCAGGGGATCAAGTCCTGTATCAACAAGGTGACAAACTGCGACTATGAGTCGCATACTGCGCTGTCCAAAACCCTGAGCGATCTCAGCAAGCAGACCTACGACATGGGCCAGGAGTTGCTGGCAGCCCTACACTTTGTTCAGGGCGAGCAGGGCACTATGAAGGACAATTTATGGCAGATTGCCAATGTTCTCGGGGACACGGTGGAGCAGGTGAGGATCATTCGTGATTACTGCGAGAGGCCAGTCCCAGTGAACGTTCAGGCAGCAGCACCGGCGGCTGGCATGCCACCTCCTCCTGCCTACGAGCCCAGCATACATGGAGCCAGACAGCAGCTGCATCTCCAGACGGCCATTCCTTTGGCCCGAGGAAGTGGAAGCACCGCAGCACCCCAGACGGCCCCGCAGGTGAACATCGACATGGGAGATGGGCGTACTATCAATATTCCCGTGCACAGATAGTTTGCCCTAGTGTCACAGGATATAATAATCGCATGCACGAGGGCAACATCTTCTGATGTATCTTAGGTTTTCGAGCCTTGGCTCTTTTTGCAAACGCCCTGCCTGCATGCCTGAATTTAATGCATGTCTTGCGTACTGTGCATGCCCTTGCCCTTTTCCTTTGCACTGGCACTGAGCTCCTTGCCTTTTTCATACCTTTAGGTTTCAGGGTTCTTGCTGTTTTGCACCCGGAGTCTCAGTGCCCGAAGCGCGCAGTCTCAGAAGGCGAGCCTTCCTATGCTTCCGGGCATCGTTGCACGCTGCACTTGATTGCATTCGCTTCCCTTTGCATGGCACTGGTACTGAGGCAACAGATTCAAAAAGAGAACGACCACCACAGGATCTCCTGTGTAACATCTTTCCTGTAGGACCCTGACTTTTGCCGTGTAACCTCCTGAAGTGCTGGAGTGACATGTAGTACATGAGCCCGAGCTTTCGCATGTTCAAGCAAGCCCTCGAGCCTTCGGACCGCCGTGACAGACCCGGAGCCTCACAGTTGAGCCACTGTCCAATGGATGATGGCTTTGATTTTCAGCTTGCATCTTATCTCTCTCCTTTTGAGCCCTTGCTTGGTGATGAGCTCCTGGGAGTGCTTGAGACGATGCCTGAACACATGGCCCATCAATTCGCAGTGGAGTTTCGGGTTTACTTGGGAGCGATGCGTAGATCCTGGAGTTGGCACTTCTCTTTCCTTTTCGAGATGCACCTCTATTGCCTGTCATTGGAGCGTACACTACAGGACTACCACCGTTTGCACCCGCCGCCTGCCCGAGGTTCTCCACCCTTCCCGCCCCTCACAAGAGAAGACCGATCTTTGATTCAATTTTTGGCAATGGACATGCAGTGTCGTTTCGATGCCACGTGTGAAAGCATGTCATGGCATTTCCTGCAACAGCACATACCAGTCTTCGAGATTTTGCTTCAACCAGCCAGAAGTAGCAGGATCCGGGAGTAGATTGGGGCCCAACATGTTCGCTGTCCCTCTGAAGCCTGCCTTAGGAACGGTGAACCTACATGGCCACCCCGACCCACCCGAAGCTGCCGTTGGACAACCAGAAGCAACTGAGGTTGTACTTGTGGACTCCCAAAGCAGTGATATCCCCTCTTCCTCATCGGTAGTCCACCCCAACCCACTGGCCCCACGCGAACACCGAACCGAAACAGTCGAAGCAAGAGCCAAGCAGATCCTTGAGGCCTTTGGGGGACCTAGTAAAGCCCAGTTACTAGAGCTCTTCGATGCCTTGCCTCGTTCGTTGTTCCGTCGTGCGGATGGTGGCGATGGTGGACCCTCGATTTCTTTCGTAGTAGGTGGCGTCAACCCACGATCCTCTACCCTACCTCTTCACCTCTGTAGCACGCACCCGCACTTTGTCAGAGCAGTGACTAGCTACATCAGGGAGGCTTGTCCGAGTCATAAGTTTTCGACTTTCGTGATTCGTAGAGGCTGTTCGGGCAGGGTTCACCGAGATTGCAAGAACGGACCTTGCCCCTCACTGGTGGTAGGCCTGAATGACAATCTGGAGGGAGAGGGCCTTTGGATCCATGACAAGGTAGGCACGTGCATTAAGAGACATCTTGATCAAGACCTCCTGGGCACTGTAGTCTCTATTCGAGCCCCGTTTGTATTCGACGCTAGAAAGACCCTCCATGCTGGGCACCTGTTAGATGCCTCACTTGCACCCTTTCGTGTAGTGTTGGTAGCTTTCACCACCATCAATGCCAGATTTACGGCGCCTAGGGTCAGAGTGCAACTGGAGGACCTCGGCTTCCCACTGCCTGCTGCTGCAGACATGCACATGCAAGACGGGTCCATTTTGGGGGAGTGTCCCAAGAGGCTTCGGCAGCTAACCTTCCTTGAGGCCCTCCACTTGTCCAGGGAAGAGGATGAGACACATGATGTCATTGAGGTTCTTGACTCCCAGGACTAAACCCTTTGCGGTGGTGAGTAGCCCGCGTGTAAAATGCGAGCTGCTGGTGTTCAACTCCTTCTGCAGGACTGGAATTTATGAATTTATTGCTGGACTGTTGCATGTTGCATTGCATGTTCTGATGTTGCATGGGATGATGATTGCATGAGATGGGTGCTGACTTTGCATGCCAGTCCTGTCTGTCGGTCTGGTCCTCCCCTGCCTACTAGCCCCTACTTTATCATGTTTTATCCCTTGCTTTCCCTCCCTAACAACCACTAACCTGCCCGGCGCGCAGCCATGGACCATCCAAACACTGCCGGGAACAAGGCGGCGAGGAGTGGACTGCAGAGGCAAATCAGTAACCACCGATGGAGGTGGAGAACTTTCCAGTGGGCAACCAAACAGGGCTGCAGAAGCAATGGTTTGAGGGACCACAAGTTCGCCAGCAGTCTATCGGCTACGAACTGGACAAAGTGTGAAGAGGTAGATCTTCATAGTGAACGAACCTGAGAAAGCCTTTCTGGACTTTCCAATGTGAGTGAAACTCACCTGAGAAATCTCTGGATTTGCCAATGTGAGCTGGACGACTGGGCGACATCGACGTCCACTCTGCGGACCACTGCGCGTCTGCACGGCTGCTTCAGCATAGCCGATGCTGCAAAACTGTGAACCTTGATGACCCCGAGTTCCGGGAGAAGCCTGCCCCTGACAGCGATGGTCTGAACCTTGAGTGACCATGGTATTTGAGGCTGCGATTTGTGCCTTGTAGCAAGTATTGCAGTTCGTGGACGATGCTCGACTGCTTTCAACAGGAAGCTGACGTCTGAATTGCGAATTGAGAACCTGGGACAGTGGGCTTCCAGAATGTTGGGAACCACCTCGGGTACTGACGGGCGACCTCTGAACAAGCACCTTTAGATTTCACTTAGTTTCCTTCCTAGTTCCTTTCCTGTCCCTGGGGAGCTTCTCTGGTTAGTGTCTCGCTGTATATGGTTTCTAGTTTTGGGAGCTCGAGGGGACATGCAACAGTAAAATCTGTTGCCAACGGGCAGACCATTGTGCTCCTGGGTGGTTCATGGTTCTTAGATGGGGTTCTGGGCTTGCTTCCTGCCTATGGCCTGTCTTTCCTGTGTCACGCCGACCTCGCACCAAGAACCTCGCCTGGCTTGTCCGAGTTGTGAGAGCGGAAATGGCTCGCTCTTTCTCTCAAAACCTCGGCAGCTGGCTTGTCTGAGTGTTTTTTGGCGCCGAAAGGAGCCGCTAGACGATCTGAGTCGGGAGCGAAGCCATGAGTGCCTTGGCAGATCTGGGCCGCGTCATGGCACGGCACGAAGTCCTGCATGATCGATGTCTTCAATTTTTTCGCTCCGGGTCCCGAGGCCTTTGATCTTCAGGTCCAGCGACGTTCCGAAATTTAAACCTGTTACTGCCTGATTCCATGCTGCAGCTCTCCCAGGCACCCGACGGCACGGCCCGTGACGCGTGGTCGAGGTGCACTGTCGGGCGAGTGGAACAGCTTCGTCTAAGCATGCAGCAGTGAGCAATCCCCATTAAGTTATAAATTTATCGAAAGGGGAAAGGGGCACGTCAGCAGATCGAGGTCATAAGAAGCAAGAATTGGCGCCTGAAGTTCAGAAGGTTCGCGAGTTCACAACTTCTACGGATGTCACCTTACCAGCAAGAACTGGGGTCGGTTCCTTCTTTCCCGCAACTTGCTGCAGGTCACCGGGGGCCCACAGACGAGAAGCCACGAAGGGTGGTCGCATTCCTAGCTTCGTGGAAGTGAATGAATGAACTGTGTCTACTTCGATGGCTGAAGAGATCCACTCAGTCAGTGGGAGGACCGAATGGTGCTCGGGCTTTTCCTGTTGATGAATGGTGATCGTGCTTTTGTTGTTTTTGACCCTTCTCTCCTGTCTTCGCGTTGGGTGGAAGGTCTTTGTGGATCATCACCATGTTCACCACCACCATCACTTCCACGCGCCCACGGACTGGGACGGCAGCTTGGCAGAATTGGAGCCTTTTTACCGCACATTGACATGATTTGCAAGCGACTTTCCTCTACTGACTTTTCGAAGGTATTTCTCAGTATTTGCCCAGTTGAACCTTGGAAAGTCAGATGATGTGTTGGAGTGCTGCGGAAGTGGTTCAGGTTTTAGCGTTCATAATTAGGGCCATTAGGGGTTCAGGGTAAAAGGTTTTTCCTGTGGGTGCTATATAATCTGCTATAGATTTTGGAATCGGAAGCAGCAAAACCATTGATTTGGAGGTGTGCGGTTTCTTCAGGTGCCCCTGGCGATCTTCCACCAGAGTCGCTGCAGCGTTGCCAGGAGCAGAAGGTCTTCGCAAGGGAGATAACGTTTTATGGGGAGTTTAGGGTTTAGGGTTTATAGGGTTGCGGTTTGTCTGGGTTCAAAAAGGGTGGAAGCTCTCTTATCATCCCTGGACTTGGACTCCTGAATCTTGTAAAACCTCGAAGCTCTCATTGGCAAGTCTCAGAGCTTGCAAGGATTAGGAATAGAATCACGAAGTGGAGGGTCCCTTACATGTTGGCTGCTTGGTTAATTTTGTTTGGCAGCCAGAGCTTTGCCTGTTATATCCCCTGTCAGAGGGCGAAGTTTGGAAGGATTCGCCATCCATTTGCTGTCTGGGTTCCCATGCAAGATCACTGGCCATCTGACGGTGGAACTTGTGCTTTGCACCCCCCCTCCCCCGTCAAGTAGTCTTGTCACCTGCAAGTCACTTGCGGTTGTCGAGAACTAAGCCGTGAAGTTGCCTATTTGCTGGAACATGTGGAGATCTCGAGAAGTATGTGTAACATACATGCGCGTCAGCCGCGATGGAACCGATGCTAGCAATTACCTGCTACCAGCAACAGCCGAAACCGTTAAGTGATTCCAGATAAGATGCCCCTGCCTGAAGGTTCTCAAACCTTGAAGCCTTGATGCAGTGACAGGCAGAGCAAGACGTGGAGCGCTGCATGGAGCAGACAGGCAACCTTCCACAACATCGTCTTCAACCTCTTGCCTCTGTTTTTCGCACTTCCAACTAACCCAACCCCCCAGGCACCTACTATTTAGGGCCCTAGGGGCTCTAGTACCCTATATAGTAGGTACCTGCAAGGTTAGGGTAACTTCATAGGCTCCTCAGTAGTTCCTTGTTGGGATTACCTTACATTTAAGCCACAAAAAGGAACTACTTAGGAGCCTATGGGTACTTCATGGGGGCAGTTCTCTAAATTAGAGTCCCTTCTTGGGGGTCCTTATTATAACTCTATTTGGGACCTATAAAGGGACCCTAATTCAGACAACTACCGATGTTTCGTTCTTTGAAAGGCCCGGCGCCTGCGGCCCTGCCGGAAGCGCCGAAACCAGGCCGCCCACGGCCGAGGCGAGGGGTCGGGGCAGAGATGGGACCTTCCGAAAATTAGGGGTAGCCTTATTTTGGGGTCCTTATAATGAGGATCCTACTATTTAGGGTAATTACTATATTAGGGTCCCTTATTTTCGGAAACCCCCATATCGCAAGTCGCAACAGGGCCGGGGCACCTCACGGCATCCTGCCCGGGTTTTGCGGTTTTTGGCACCGCAAGTCCCGGGCTGTCCTTGAAGGGAACAGGGATTCGTTGTGGTCAGGCGATTTTTTAACGTCTCCGTGGGATGTAAGTGGGTTTTTGTTGCAGGGCTTCGGGTTTATAAGACTCGGGGCACCGAGCTTGAATCTGGAGGCTTTGCATTTGACACCATAACTTAGGAGCCCAATATCTAAACTTTAAACTTTTTTGGTATATTAAACCCTTACTAAAGGAAAACTTTAAACTTTTTTGGGCCAGGGTACTGGGCAGCTAAGATAAAGACTTACGCCTAATCCTAATTAAACATCGGACGAACAATTAGGCTTTTCTCTACTGGCACGCTGGGGAGGATCTTGCTCCTGCTCCTGTCGGGGCTCCTGCTCTTGCTTCTGCTTCTGCTGCGGCTCTTACTGCCCTACAATTCAAAATCGAGAAAACAGGGCAGGGATGATTTTAGTGGGGGCATTTGGCGGAATGTGTTTTTAGTTAAACACTTCGCGTCGTCCGCCTCGGCCCGGCTGTACTTGAAGCAGGTGCATTGTCTCTCTCGGAAAGCAACAGGTAGTTCACACACTCGAGGTCTTGCGTGAAGGAGTGCGTGAAGGAGCATTGGCTTCCGAATGTGTTTTTAATGTCAGTATGTGTTTTCATGCTGAGGGTCTGAGCAATAATCCCACGCGCAAGCTGGCACATTCCCTGCATTATTCTCTAGACGTTACTCTGAAAATCGTGTTACACTTCTCACTACAACCTCCCGTATGTTAAAGGGGAATTGGGAATCAAGCTTTGCAACAAAGTACGCCGTCAGTGCAGGGGGGACAAAGAGGTGGGGAACACAGGGAGCCTGCTGGGTCCGAGGCGCATCATTAGGGGATGTTTGACAAATGGCAGAAGTGGTTTCGACAGACCGTGTCTACCCTGAGTGTGTCCAGAGTTTTGTTTCGGAGGGGGGCGTGGCCGAATCTTTCACTTAAACCCTAAACCTTAAACCATACCTGCCTTGTGTGAGTGCCTGAGTCGAAACCCTAAACCATCCTTAAACCGCTTTTATTGCTTTGATATGCGCGTCAGGCCGACAGAGTCTCTGGTCGTCCGTAGATTACCCCCTGCTCGCTCAGAACTGCAGGAACGAGCTCAGATCAGGAGGGCTCGCTCATGGCAGATTTGCCGTCGCTTTGCGCTTTGTAGCTGCTAGCTTTGTGAGCTTCCGATCTTCGTCTGATCCTCCGAGCATTTAACTGTAAAACACGTCCTGAAGTCGGTACATTGCACATCTGGGGCGACGTTGATCCTCCGGTTGAGAATACAATCCACCATTTTCTTCTTGCAAGCCGCGTTTCCGCTTGCAAGTGCAAGGCGGAACGCGCCGGGACGCTGGGAGCCGGCGGGGAGGGCAGTTGGTTGGAGGTTGCAAGGTTTGGTGGATGCGAAGCTTGAGGGTCTGTGTGCGATTCCTAGTCTCGCCAGTGGTTCCCCACGTTTGTGCCGCAGGTTGGCGGGGCCAGCATTGACCTCTTGGAAGAGTTCCTGGGGACTGCAGTTACAGCTCGGCATAGCTCGGGGATGCGACGAATGCTTCTTGTACCTAGCGGGTGCTGTGAAGCCGAGCTTGCTTGAGGAAGGCTCGTGGGTTTCTTGCGTGCAGCACCCTGCATACACGCCCACCAAGCTTTCTCTTCCTATGTGCCTGGGGCTGTTGACCAGACCTTTGAATCCCTCCCACGTCACCAAATGTCGAAGAAAAAACAGTCCTCCACAGTCTTCGGCCATACACAACGACCAAGGATGAACATGGCAGCAAACCATGAACCTCCGAGGTCCTTAGCCGGGAGCCTCCCGGGCTTGCAGAGCACCTTCAGCACATTCGGTGCTCGCAGAGGTGGGAAGATCTGGAAAACATAGTTTAGTCATCTTCGGTCGGCTTCGGCATAAGCCAAGACAAGCCTGAGAAAGTGCTGCTTCTCTTGAGGATCAAAGGCTTCGCAGGAAGCTCATAAATTTCCACGAACGGCTGGTATCAAGTCTCAAAAGTATGGGGCCTTCGAGCATCCAGTTCTCGCAGTTTGGTAAAGCGCACCATTCTTGAAGGTATGCCAGGCACGGCCGAGGCAGGCCTGCCATCTGCAGAGGCCCAGCTAAGTAAGCAAAGATGTGTGCATATATCTGCATGTGTGTATATATATATAGAGTAAAAAATACTAATAATAATTATTCATATAAAGATAATTATAATTATTATATATATATATATACATGTGTAGTGAGTGAGAGAGTAAAGTGTGAGAGCCCCAAAACTCTCCCCAATTACTAACACAAGGGGTGGTCGGGCGGGCCAACGGCCTGCGGGTCGGTCTGCGGCAGAAAGAACAAGCGTATATTGACTATAGTTAATATAGCAATTTGTGTCTTTCTTGATGTCGTCATTCTGCATGTCTTTCTTTAGTCCTTCCCTCCTGTCTTGTTCTGTGTTTGTTTATGTGTATATGCGCAGATCATTGCACCACAGTATGTTTTGCCAAAGAGTTATTGCAGCGACTCCTATAGTTTGCCTTGGGTTTAAGTCTTTCGAGGGGTGGATTTTTTTACAGAGCGGGCCTGGGATGAGGAGAAGGACACCGGATGAGGACTGGCAGGGGCGGAGAGGGTGGGAGTGGCGCCGGTGGGAGAAGTGGCGGTAGTGCATGGTGCTGGTGGCGGCGTTTTGGAGTCAAGGCACGTTGAGAACCACTAATTCGTCATGGTGGTCATCCAGTCTGTAGTAGTCACCCGCCTGAAATCACAGCTGTAGCGGCAGATGAGCAGAGCAGGGTTTTGCGCGCTAGCACCCGGTACTTGACGACATCGCTCACCAGAAGCCCACGTGACAGGCGTCCTGGCTGGCGAGCGTGTCGAATCCGCTACCGGCCACGGGCAGTGCAGCACAGACTCTAGCACGCAGTGAGTGCAGATGAGTATCCAAGACTGAGACTGTCCTTGCAGCATTGGGTGGGGGACTCTGTGATACTCGTAGTCGTAGCAGTCGTAGCATGCAGATCGTTCCAGGCACAGAAACGGACCTGATGTTGCTGCAATTGGTACCACTTCCTGGTTCCGCTCGGTAGAAAGGCTTCATCCATCCTAAACCCTGAACCTCCGAACCTTCAGCCCGCTGACTCGGTTGGGAATGAGTCCGGAAGAGAACCGAGAACCCTAGCCAAGAAAATGTTAGCCACAAAGGAAGCCCAGCCTGAGCACCGTATCATACCGTATCTCGAATGCCCGGACATGTGGGATGGACACTTTTGTTATGTGGTATCGTGGACGCTGCTGCTGCAGAACCCAACCGCCTGTCAGAAGGCAAGAAACCGCATCTTAATCCCACACAGCCTCTTGTCAGGAGAAAGCAGCCGCCAGAATTGCAGCTGCAGCAGTATTTCGAGGTGCTTTCTCCCGGGGCTCCTCTTGGCAATGTTTAAGCCTTAAGCCTCAGGGTTGTAGTGGGTACCTGTGCGGCTTGCTTTCTGGAATAGTTGATTCCGACGGTGGGGACGGTCACTTCCTGTATCCGTCGTCACATTTGCAGGCCCATGTATTCGAAAGCGCTTCTCGGGTCTTGTGTCGAAAGCTGGTCTAGTTCTGGTGAGCCTGGAAGCCAAACCAGGTCATGTCCTGCTTGCCGCTGGAGACTCGCTTGAAGCTGTCGCCATACGCGGTGCCACTGGGTGCCCGGTAGCAGAAGATAGGCGATCATGCTGAATGGCCACATTTCCTTTAGCCTCGTATTGTCGGACAACGATTGCCCGTTTGTTGGGTCTTACATATGCAGGTGCAACCTGACGCCAGTTTGTGGAATACACGGCATAAACGACGACTGAAGCAAGTTAGCAAGAAAAATCTGGCCCAAAATCAGCATGTTGCCATGTGTAGCCTTTCTCACCGCATGAACGTTTCACCTTGCACCTCCTCTCAGCCATGATTCATCCTGGCAAAGACGGGTGCCTCAGCAGGCTTCTAGGTCCAAAAGGGTCCAAAACAGCCTGCTGCCTATCGCTCGTAGGATCGGTTCTGTGGCTTGTTAGCATGGTACAGGGCGACGACTAAATCTCAACAGCATAAACCGTGCTGGCATATCCGCACAAGTACGGCGAAGATCCAAGAACTTTTGGAGTCCACAGCAGAAACTGGGGTCTTCGCCACTCAGACGCGCGAAGCAAGAATGGCCAGCCATTTCCTTCAGAACTTCGCTGATAACCTGGGCTGCAGGATGCGGTTGACGTCACAGCACCTTTCGAACATGGCATCGTAAGCAAGGACACCACCCACACGTACTGTACCCGTATGCTATATACACGAGACAAGCAACATGCATGGGCACGTGCACACATGTTACAGTAGTATCGTCACATAAGTCAATCGGCATATTACATGGTACATGAATTCTCTGTTCGCTCTCTCTCTCTCTCTCTCTGGCGGCGTTCGATGCATTTGTTTCTTTTGCATTGTCATCCACATGTAGCATCATGTGCTCGCCATCTCTGCTACTCGTACATAGGTTGCCGCATGCCTTGTTCAATGACACACGCTGTGCACACACACACACACCAACATGCATTTATGGTTTATATAAAATAATATATGTGTGTCTGTGTATACACACATACATACGTGCGCACATACATGCGTACATGCATAGCCACTTGCATTCGTCCGTTTGTACAGTCTGCACAATAACCTGAAATTCTCCGTAGCGACTGGAGTTTGACAGGCTCGCCCTGCTCCCACTCAGTCCCTTTTTGCAGGGCGCTGAGACTTTAGGATCTTGTGCTTGCTGGTTGTGCGGTGCGCGTGCGTGTGTGTGTGTGTGTCTGCCTTGGGCCAGCACAGCTTCGATAGCATTTCCCAAAGCGAAGCAATGCGAATTGAAAGAATCTGCCGTGCAGGTCTTCGTGGGGGTTGACTCCGACTGTGAGGCGTGGGGCCCTGTGACTCCTTGTAAAGTATGTAAACTCCCGAGGATCGCTGTAACGGAGGCTCGAAGCTGTTTTGAAGATGTTCGAGGTAGGGCAGTGTCCTGGAATCCCGCAGTTTGTCCAGCCAAGTCCCCCACATGGCTGCCTGAATACTGGAGAACTTGAATATTCCTGGTTCGTCGTGGCACTACTTGTCTTGGTCCTGGATGGAGATGCCACTGTCCAGCTCGGGCCCCAATCAACTTCCATTTTAAGTGCTACGGCACGCATGTATGTAGCAACTGGAACATCCTAGAGCCCGGATGCCGGCTTTCCAGATATTGAGAGCTACAAGTATCAGCTTTGCGGTGCAGCGAAATGCGGGCTCGAGTCTGAGAGTCCAAGCTCAAGAATACTCGGAGCCAAGAGCGATAAAGAGCTTCCATTTTGGTGCAGGGCCTAGGGCTCATGCTCATCGAGGACCTGAGCAAAAGGCTGACTCTCCGGGTTTATGTTGCATGTTGCATCGTGGCCCTTGGGGGTGCGAGCGTTCGCAAGAAGTTCTGGCTTAGCTTCCTGAGGGAGCAGTTTCGAGGGCTTTCGTTGTCAGATCTTGCAAGGAGATCTATAGTGATCTGCCCATTTAATCCTTCGGGCCTTGAAGCAGCACGAAGGCGTCGGTGTCGGTTTCTCTGCCGAGGAGACATTTGCATGGCTTGCAACCTCCAGGCACAGTCCCAACTCCCCAAATCCGGGACTCCTTCATGGAGGAAAGCCCAGAACCTCCCAAACTCTCGGTGAAGAGAAGACTGTGTTCGAGAAGCTTTCAGGCTTGGATCTTCGAGAAGGCTTCGGAGAAATTTCAAAAGTGCAGAGGCACCACAACGTCTTTGCAAGGGTTGGGCATGGAGCTTGCATGTTTGAGAGGACCTTCGAAATTCATTATAATTCATTTTGCTCAGTATGGTGACAAGAGATTCCATAGATGTGGTTGCTGTCATGGCTTGGTTGGCTGCGGCTTCTCAACTGACGGCCCGGAAGGGACTGTTTCAAGCGAGGGTATTCAAGTTCGCCGAATTTGGGGTCTGTGGTCAAGGTAGGGCGGGTGCTAGTTGCATCAACTTTATACGTTTGCCCCATCAACCAAACTCTCTTGGCGCCATCGGGAAGGTGCGCCTTTCGCGCCTGACAAACGGAGGTTGGGCCGTTCCGGAATGCGAGGCGGCTGCGGTTCGGGATCTTTGGCATGCTAAGGCTGCTGAGGGTCATTGAGTCTTGAGGATCGACTTCTTTTCTTGGTGGCTGGCTGTCGCGACACCTTCCGAGATCGGAACAAGAACAAGCGCAAGTAGAAGCTTGTTGCAAAGGAAGAACCAAGTAATTACGGTGGAGTAGAACACCACCACGAGCCACAACAACAATGGCGAAGCAACAACGACTGCAAGCTAAGCATCGCCCAGAGGCCCTCATCCCACTCGTCACGCCTCAGTGGCTTTTGACACCGGCTGGCGCCGGGACCCGAGAAAGGGAGTCTATGGCGCACACACTCGTGTGCATTGCATGTTCGAGCTCCGTCAATCTGCATAGTCATTCCGGTGCAGGGCCTCAAGTGCTTATGTGTTTTTGCTGAGGGCTTGAGGCAGATTGAACTGTGATGCGGCCCGTCACATTGACAAGCTTCTTGTCAGAACCTGCATCGTCACAAAAGCGGCGCTGGCAAGCAAGAGGTCAAACGATTTATCATGCCAGGTCAGTTCGGGGCAGCTGCATGCGTGATTTTTTCACGAATGGCCTTTTCGAGCACGATGCTTAATGCAAGCATGCCCCAAAGTAGCGTTTTCGGAGCGCACATGCTTTCCGTGAGTCAAAGTTATAGACTCAGATGATGTTTGGAGCCTTTGGACCCGTCTACTGCCTTTGAAATGCCATGTCCAAGTGCACTCCTAAAAGTGTGCATAAGTGTTCGAAAAGGGTCCTTTGCAGCCGCAACATTTTCCGGAATACCTGGCCTTCTCACTCGAAAGGTTGCTGCGCTACGTACCGTCTTCCGGTTGCGAGCTATGCACTTGGGCCGCGGTCTCAGTTGTGCCTCTGTTTGAGAGAGGAGACGTGCAGTGTAGTGTCGAGGGCACGATCAGTAGCTGTAGTCCTAGACTAAAGGCATGAAGCTAGTGCGAGTTTACACACCGCTTGTGCCAAGATGATCGGGCAATGCCTGCATAACGCGATGCCACTTTGGCAGAAAGCCGTCTCATCTCTCCACTTTCTGGTAGCCCTGAATTGCGCCTTTTCGCGGCAAAACACAGGCTTCCGCCATGGTGCAGCACGTGGTGTTCCTGAACCTTCCATCCGCCGGACATATGAATCCAACCTTACCACTGGTAGCTGAACTGCGCTCGCGAGGTGTGGCCGTGACGTACTTTGTTCCACCTCAGATGCGGGAGGTGGTCGAGGCAGCGGGAGCAACCTGGAAACCCATGGGCGACATGCATGTCCTCACCGAGGACCAGAAAGCGAAGTATGTTCCCGAGGGTATGCCTCCGGAGGAGTACGGCTTCCCCATCATCTCCATGCCCGTTGCGGCCGTACAGCTGCCTGAGCTGATCTCGGAGCTGAAAGGCCTCAGCCTCCCAGCCACGGCCATCGTCTACGACCCTTTCCTACCACAAGGCTTTGTGGCTGCACGGGTCTTGGGCATCCCGTCGGTGAGTACCATGACTATGCCCGGCCCGGGTGTCGTGGCGCGACCGGCGCCAGTGACTGCAAAGTGGGAGTCCAACGAGGTGGTTCGCAGGGCACGCCAGGAGATCCAGGACCCGCCTGACCTGAAAAGCACTTATGTTGCCACCACGAGCAGAAGCAAGCTGAGCGTTGTCCGGTTCGACGTTTTGGGCCCGACAGTTGCTACTATAATTAGATGGTGTCGCTTCTTTGGAGCCACCCGTAGAGTGGAGTGTAGTTCAGCTTCAGGACGTACATGGCGTGGACGTTTTCGAATGCGGTGGGCTGACGGAGTTCTACTCCCCGCACTGCACCATTGTCACTACCATAGACGAGCTTTTCGCACCGCCGGCGCCAGGCATGCAGCATGAACGATTCGGCAACTTTCCCTTCACATGCGTGGGACCCCTTCTGGATGCGAAGGTGAAGAGGGTTTCTCATCCCTCTGTTTGCGAGGCGGGGCCGAAGCCGGGCAGTGGTTTGCCCTGGGATGTTATCGACGGGGCTCTCGCTGCATCAAAGCGCCTTGTACTGATCTCGCTTGGCACTGTCGCAAACTCCAGCAAATGGGACAAGAAGCTGGGTGCCCAGGCACTCAGCAATGGTTTGGAGAATTGCACCGGCAAAGAGATCATTCAGTACGTCTTCCGTACGGCTTTCGAGGCACTAAAGGAAGAGGAGGACCTCCTCGTTGTTTTGGTTGCAGGCTGTCAGCCTGATGTGCTTGATGACCTGCCCACTCCACCTTCCAATTTCATTATTCAAGAGGCCGTACCACAGCTTGAACTTCTGCCCAAGTGCCGCGCCTTCCTTTCGCATTGTGGTGCTAACAGCATGCACGAGGCGCTGAGCTTCGGAGTCCCCTTGGTTTGTGTGCCGCTCTGGGGAGACCAGGTGCTGAATAGCCACTCCATCGCCCGAGCGGGTGCCGGCATCTCTTTCGTGTCGCCTCTGCAGACCCTGACAACAAGTGCCTTGCGCTCTTCGATCCGGCAGCTCCTGGATGCCGACTCCTTCCGTCAGGCGGCCCAGGGCCTCAGCAAACAGATGCAGTCGGCGGGCG